AGATGCTCCCCAACCCGCCTCCCCTCATGGGTGGAGTCCTCATGATTTTGTTACCCAACATTCAACTTCTGTTGATGTTACCCAGCATACAGCTTCTGTTGGAGAAGAGGGAATCCAGTCGTCGTCTGTTGTGGAAGAAGGAACCCTTGTTGAAGGAGATAAAGTTGAACGGTCTGTTGCGAGCTTAATACAGATGGTTAAGGGTAGACGAAGCAGAAGAAAGAAGACAGTGAGTTCACCTTTCACTGCCTTCAAACTGAAGAGACAAAAAACAATAGGTGAAGTCAATGAGCCGATGATACCCGAGGAAAGAGGAAGATGCTGTTGTACATACCACCACCATAGTATAAGAACAACAAATTACTGAAGAACCAATAATAGACCCTGTAGCAGAGATGAGTCTTCAAATAATTATATTTTCTGGTGTACATACAAACCCCAATGTAGAGGGACAACATAGAATGTAGAAGGATCATCTGTCCTAGCACTAACAACTCAAGGAGATCAACAAGATGTTGTTAATATGTTATTTGGAATTTATTTTTAATGCATTGTCTTATATCATCTAAATTACTTGTGTATTTCAGATGAGCAGAAGATGTGACATAATTTTTTTTGTCTTTTAGCCTCTTCCAGTTGTCCCCTAGATCGACTATCTTGGCAGGTCTATGTTATCAGCTGAAACATAGACGGTGATCGATCAAGTCATGGCGAAATACATCAATGAGTGAGTGAATTTGTGTCTTTTATAATGAACTTCTTTTGGGATTAAGTGAATGAAGACAACTTCTTTATTATATTTGGAATTTATATTATTATGCAGGAGTGATATTATGTTGTACTTGAAAGACATTTTTATAGATCGTCGGGCAATGATAGAGTCATTGTGCAATGGCATGATTGCAAATGACCATGTCGACGCTCAAGCGATGATTTTGAACAATAAGAGGAATGTAAATCCATCTCTTTTTAGGCCTTACCTTTATGTATCACCACTATACTGGGTAAGACCGCATCTAAATATCTAAACACCCATATTTAATTATATTAAGAATTTCAACAACAATATGAATGTGTTAACACTTTGTTTTATTATACAGGCTTATCATAAAATGGGTAACCCCACATCATTTATAGGTCATATCACCAAAGAAGCAGTTCAAAAAGCTGATATTATTATGATTCATGTTCTGAATAACCAACACTGGGTTTTATTTGGTCGCTGATCTAGGTGAGGGCAATGATCGTTGTAGTATTATTGTCGTTTTATTGTAGTATTCCTGAATAATTAGTTGCAATGATCGTTGTAGTATTATTGTCGTTTTATTATAGCATTATTGTCATTTTATTGTAGTATTTCTGTATTATTAGTTGCAATAATTGTTACAGTATTCTTGCAATAATAGTTGTAGTATTATTGTCGTTTTATTATAGCATTATTGTCATTTTATTGTAGTATTTCTGTATTATTAGTTGCAATAATTGTTACAGTATTCTTGCAATAATAGTTGTAGTATTATTGTCGTTTTATTATAGCATTATTGTCATTTTATTGTAGTATTTCTGTATTATTAGTTGCAATAATTGTTACAGTATTCTTGCAATAATAGTTGTAGTATTATTGTCGTTTTATTATAGCATTATTGTCATTTTATTGTAGTATTTCTGTATTATTAGTTGCAATAATTGTTACAGTATTCTTGCAATAATAGTTGTAGTATTATTGTCGTTTTATTATAGCATTATTGTCATTTTATTGTAGTATTTCTGTATTATTAGTTGCAATAATTGTTACAGTATTCTTGCAATAATAGTTGTAGTATTATTGTCGTTTTATTATAGCATTATTGTCATTTTATTGTAGTATTTCTGTATTATTAGTTGCAATAATTGTTACAGTATTCTTGCAATAATAGTTGTAGTATTATTGTCGTTTTATTATAGCATTATTGTCATTTTATTGTAGTATTTCTGTATTATTAGTTGCAATAATTGTTACAGTATTCTTGCAATAATAGTTGTAGTATTATTGTCGTTTTATTGTAGTATTTCTGTAATGATTAGTTGCAATAATCATTGTAGTATTCTTGCAATAATCGTTGTAGTATTATTGTCGTTTTATTGTAGTTTATCTGTATTATTGTCGTATTAATCGTTATGTTATTCTTGTATTTCTTTGTTATAGTATTATTGTCGTATTATTGTGGAATTGTTGCAGTATTATTGTAGTCTTGTTGTCTAAAATATTTTAATCTTACTACAATATTTTGGTTGTATTGCGGTAGTTATTTGGTTGTATTGCGTTATTTTATCCTCGGTACAAGCTTGATACGACCGCGGACTGGCGAATCCAACAAAAGAATATTCTAATAAAACTATGATTTATTCCTCCGCCAGCGCGCGTATATATTTTGGTTGTATTGCGGTAATAGTTCGGCAATATTTTGGTATTATTCAGCGCAAACCAGAGATAAAATTAAGTTAAATTCCCAAAATGTTTTAAATCGCACGGATCTGATTCAAATGCCATTTAATCATCCGTAGATGTTATATAGTAGTCGTATTATTTATTTATCTTCGGTACAAGTTTGATACGACCGCGAACTGGCGAATCCAACAAAGGAATATTCTAATAAAACTGTGATATATTCCTCCGCCAGCGCGCATATATATTTTGGTTGTATTGCGGTAATACGTCGGCAATATTTTGGCAATTATTCAGCGCAAACCAGAGATAAAATTAAGTTAAATTCCCAAAATATTTTAAATCGAACGGATCTGATTCAAATTTCATTTAATCATTTGTAGATGTTATGTAGTAGTCGTATTATTTATTTATCCTCGGTACAAGCTTGATACGACCGCGGCCTGACGAATCCAACAAAGGAATATTCCAATAAAACCGGGATATATTCCTCCACCAGCGCGTGTATATATTTTGGTTGTATTGATGTAATACTTCAGGAATATTTTGGTATTATTCAGCGCAAACGAGAGATAAAAGAGATAAAATTAAGTTAAATTCCCAAAATATTTTAAATCGAACGGATCTGATTCAAATGTCATTTAATCATTCGTAGATGCTATGTAGTAGTCGTATTATTTATTTATCCTCGGT